TATAAAATAATTAGATTTTGTTAAATTTTATTTCAAAATCAAGTTCAAAGCTGTATTTCAAAATCAATTTTATTGGAGACGCGGGCCCATCAGCAATAACAGGCGACGTGGCCCAGCACCCTGTGCCCGCGCCCCTACCGCTGACCTGCGGGGCCCGCGTGTCAGCGGGTCCACGCACAGTGTCGCCTCCTTCCCTGGAGATGGACACAGAGCGGTTCTCCCCTACTCCCCTCTATTTTGCCTCTGGGCCAAAGCCCACTACCCCTACCCTCCTTCGAACGTGCCCCGCCGCGCCGCATCAACCGGGCGTAGCCACCGCCGCCCGATCCCCTCGAACGTGCCCCCCGAGGTTCCCCGCGCCCGCCCCTTATAAAGAGTAGGCTCAGAGCTCTGCGCCGCCATTTTTCATCCCTAAAGGGACCGCCAGTAGACCTAGCTTTAGCCCGCGCGCCGCCGCCGCCGCTGCCAGGAGGTCGACCCTCCGCCGCCGCCGCTGATCTCCGCCTTCACCGTGTCGCCGGCCACGAGAACCCTTCCACGACCTTCATTGCGAGGTGAGCAATCTGTTGATTGACATTCTTTCAATTTCATGTAATGGGATTGTCCAGAACATTGTGTTACATGTCAACTCACTAACTGCAATTATAGTTATGCCATAATCTTTGTGGCCTAACACTTAACGGTGCTTAAACTTGTAACATACCATGATTTATTCTATATTAGAATTACTTAATCATATCTCTTCCAGTATGTGAGTTACCTTTGATACTTCTCAGTTATAATGATTTCATTCTAGCAGTTGGAAATTCATTCATTTCTACTTGTTCTCATGTTACTTCTGTAATTTTCAAATAGCAATTGTATTTCAGCATGAGTAATCTAACTTTCATTGAACCCTGTTTGTAAGTGCTTAATTCTACACGAATCCTTGAGTCATACATTTTTCTTAGGATATATCCGTGACCTGTACTAGCTAATATAGAATTGAGCGTGAGAATATTTTCTAGTGGATAGCTTTTGGTCCTTTTATCTTTATATATATGTGTGAAATCCTTGTTTGATCTCAACGACAACTTCAATTTTCTTTAGACCTTGCAATCCAATCCAGTATAGTACAGGGCATTAAGCATTTAAGCAACTGAAGCCAATAGTTGATTGGATTGTTTAATAAATGTTTGCATAGTATATTGTACTATTGCAAGATTGGCTGGTTCCTAGCCTGCGAGCAGATGAGAGAGCAATTGTGAGTCTGGGCTCACTAGCAAGCTTCCTTATGATTACTTGATCCCTCAAGCATCATTTGTCCTTTGATGTGGTTTTTGCTTAACAAATACTGGTACCTTTTTTGCTTCCTAATGTCTGTTGAACAATCCATGAAATGTTTTGTTGAAATTTCCGAAACATTTGATTTTGTTCAAATTTCAAACAAGCTACTATAAGGAGAAAATTTCTGCTGAAAGGATATGGTGGTGACGATTAAGGTTGTCCGGCATGCAGATTATGAGAGTTAAGCGGGAATGTACACAGGCTTTTGATTGCCAACATTCTTTTCTCATTGTCGTTGATTGCTTGTAGAGTTAACAGAAGAACTTCACCGTGCACTGTAGTATGTAGTGTGTCAAGGAAGGGCGGATATAGTCCAACTAGACAACTGTCTCCTTTACTACCTCTTATATATGGGATAATTTTATGAATTGCATTCTTGAGTCTTGTGTTTTCATGTGAAAATGATTTGATTGACTAGTTGCTCAGAACTTCTTTGCATTGTAAATGTGCAAGTGCAAAGATTGCTTGGATATCTGAAATCGTAAGATTCTAATTATATTTTATTCTCAATTTACGGCATTTTGACTGGGTGTTACTTTATAAATTCGTAGGTGTCATGGAACAAGTTCGGAGGTCCCTGCAAGAGTTCGAGGAGAAGGCTACCGAACTTAAGAAGGTCCACAACAATGAGTATTTGAAGATCAAGCTTGACCGTACCAAAGTCGACATCAAGAAGATGAAACGCAACATCAAACCGACACGGACATATCATTTGATCGTGACCAAGCTGGACAAAGCGGAAAAGGAAGAGCTTGCTGCCTTTGCCAAAAGAATTGAAAAAGAACAGGTTGCCCAATGAAGAAAGCGCTAAATGATCGGCGTGCTCTCTTTGCCCATATGATGATATCAAAGAACGTGCTATTGCGGATGAAGTCTTACAAAAGACCCGTCAAGAATATGATGAGAACATGAAGACACAACAACAAATAATTGATTCCTTGAGTAATCGAGGCAAGGTCACAATTGGAAGGGTTGCGAAATGACTGCTCAAAGTTGAAGGGTCTGGTGACAACTTGAATGTCGAGGTAACCACGGTACTCTTTTAATTTAAAATTTTTACTATATAGACAGGTGATCTTAAACCCTCTATTGTTAGGACTTTAAGGTACCAGATGATATGATTTGTATGCCACGTTGGTACTTCGACATGGCGGTGGACAACTCTCGTGCACCGGTATATGTAATTTTCGTACATTTTTTGTGTAAGAACTCGTTGTGCTCAAATAATTCTTATTAAGTAAATCCCTACATGCAGTATTTGGCTATGAGATTTAAGGTTTTCAAATTGGAGGAGCTTTATTACGATCTAGAGAAGTACGACATTCGAAAGCAGATTTGAGAGGCTTTGCAATTAAAGGTAGATCTGTTAAGTTCCACAAATTCATGAGGGCTTTGACCTATAATGGGCACATATTTGACTCAGAGGTATACTACCTCAATCCTGCTCCTTGGAGTAAGCCATCAACTGACCTTGTAAAGATAGTCGGAGAAGATGACGTGAACCAAATGGTGCGTGCTCATGCTTTGAATAGGGGACTAAGATTTGTCTTTTGTACCTAGTGAGCGAGATATGAAGACCAAGACCGGATGTGAGTATTGGTTCCTCTTGACAAATATTGCTCCTTAGAGTAAGCCATCAACTGACCTTGTAAAATACTTGATGCTCTAACATCTAATGGACTATAATGCGGGATGTGCCAATGGAATCATCGATGAGTCCGATGATGAAGGTGACGGCGTCCAATACTGAACGTGGTAATCTTGAATAGTCTTGAGAGCATAAGGTGAGATATTCGATCTATTTTCAAAGATATACTAGTTAAAACTTTAGAATCGGTCATGTCCATATAGCGGTATGCAAAGTCGAGTAACCTTCCATGCAAGTTTTGACATAGCTATGTCCTATGTGTTGCCGCTCTGGTCTTGACATTTAAGAAAGCGATCTCTTAGCATAATCGCAAGACATTTAGTTACTTGTCATGTCGGATACTTGTCATTTATGTAAAGATTGCTTGAAACCAATGAATTAAGAATCCATTGATGATTCATCTTTAAGCTGCACTCAATGTGTGACAAGAAGCTGAAATTTTAATTTATGCGGACAATCTGGAGATGATGGACAGCTACACGGAGCTAGAGACAACCCTTGAGGCGGACACTGAAGGCACTATACCACAGCCCATCTTTAGCGTCGCATGGGAGTCGTTAAAAGTAGCCATCTATTTGACTAGTGGATTTTAGTTTAAAGCGAAGTACTAGATAAAAAAGGAGCATTTGAGTTTGTACTATCTAGTCTACAGTACATATGTCTATTACAAATAAAATCAGTAGTAGTTGTCCATTGTGGCCATGCAGATCTGGTTTGTACTATCTATTCTATATGTATAGTACATCTGTCTATTACAGTTGTGTTCGTTTATTCAAAGATTGCATAAAGAGATGAAAGACTCCTTTCTCTATGCACTTTTCATTTTTTCTTATACAAATGTTTACTATTCATAGGGGATGGATGGAGTGAGGACTTTGCTTGGTGTGCTCACTATTCATGTTGATATTGTCCTTTCACCCCAGAAACCTTTGTATGATGGAACTGAGGAGTTTCAGTTAGTTCAGAGGAGGAGGAGCTCTGTCGATACCCTACCGTGCTGTGGCAGGGCGGTTGGAGGTGGCGGCGGCGGCGCTTGGGTTTAGGGTACTACATATTTAACACAAGAAAATGTTTTTGAAGCATAGTTGTGTTCTCGTTAAACTCCAAAGTATTTCGTTTCTGGAAGTGGGAGCAAAATTTTTTCTCAGAGATCTCCCTCTGTCCAGTGTACATGAGTTTCTTAGTCCGTTAGTACATGAGTTTCTTAGAGTTATCTGAATTTTGCAGGAATATTGCGGTTGTCGGGATAGCTCTTGAGCAGGAAGATGTCAAAAAGATGCTAACTTGACTAGTTCTATGAGTCAACAGTTCCTTTTAACTTCTCCAGATAACTACTCCTAGATGTGGCAAACTACTATTGGCATCTTTTAGACAAGTGACGATAAAAGCGATGCATGGATTAAATTCCTGAGCCATCGGTTCAGTTGCAAATCGTAGTAGCTGATTTGGTGCCCTGACGACCTTACCTAAATATACTAAGGCCACAGGGTGCTTATGAGCCGTTTTGGGCTGTTATTCTGTTTTCCCTCCACGGTGGACTCCAGCGTGGCCCTTCTGCGGCGCTTTGCGAGGCAGCGGCGCCAGGACCGACTCTTGCGTGATCCCCAGGAGGCGGGCGCTCGATGTTCTTGTATGATCAGCATAGCCCTGGATTATGCCATCACCAGGACCATTATCATGATACCTGTGCACATGCAAAATTCTTCGAGCGAGCTTTTGTATCATTGCTGTATCAGCTGGAGAGTTATCTGAAAGAGCACTTATTGCAGCAGATCGTAGCCTAAGGATCGAATTGATTGAAAGGCGAGAGGAAAATTCATCATTGCAAAGAGGGAGGATACATAAGAACAGAAGAGGCAGAAATAAGAGGGAGTTACTTTATTAATCCATCCAAATCTTCCATAGTAAAAGCACATTCTCTGCATAATCCGTCAGTTATAAAACAATCAGCTCAACTAACTATACTAAAATTGGAGTTCCAAAGTGTAAAATCTCTGGACTGCCACCTACAGATATTTTGCACGTCCTAGGCAGCACAAAGCTTCTCGAATCCCGTGGTCGAACACTTCCCTGTAATGAGCTTTCCATGCCATATCATGTGTTGCATAAATGATCGCCACCTCAATATGTCACAACCCGTGAAGCATTGAACAATGACCACAACCCAGGAAAGGATAAGAAATAAAGCAATAAGTGCTCGTCCTGAGACCTGATCAGCTTCATCCTGTCCTAGATTATAAACCATGCAAACCAATTATTCAAGCCCAAGTAGAAGAGTGGATTAGTACAGCAGAAAATAAAACCTTAGGATAGTATAATGAAATCCGCATACTCTTAAGAGTTGCTCCTAGATTCTATTGATTAACTATTTTTCAGTACATTTATTGGAAGCAAAAGCTGCTCAAAGCAAGAGTAGTTATCATGTTTGTGGTACCATTCACTCAAAAAATCCATATGGAAACCTCAAGATAAATGTGCTCACAAGTTATTCCCCCTTTATTTGCGTAGTTGTGTATGTATGAAGCTCATGTGACTGTAAACTACCAGCAAACAAAAACTTCCTGTAAAAGATTATGTCCAAAGTTAAGAAATAAATGGCTCATAATGGCAACCAACATACCAAACAAGCAGATGCATCAAATTGAGGTGCTTTTAAGGAATAAGCAGTATAGGCAGCAAACAGCAAGGGTATGGGTTTCACATGACAAGGAAAGCAAATGTGCTAAACAGTGTAGTGTTTACACAAGACTAGGCCATTTTAGTTACCTTTGGCAAATCATATATCCGGCACATCCTCAGGGAGCATTGTTTCCTACAAATGAAGAGGAACATTACCGATAAGTACACATGCCTCACAGACAGCCAGTTTTCAGCTTTGATGAACATTACACTTAGCTTACCTCTTCTCTCTTGGAACATGTTCGCCGATTGTGACCCTCACCCTTACACAGGGTACATTTCTTCTTAGATTTATCTGAAACTGACTTCAACTTTTTCTTCGGGGCCCCTCTGCCAGGCACATGTATGGGATCAAAGACATCTGCAGAATCAACATCCAGGGCTTGCGGCAGCACAGGACCAAACCTCTTGCCTCCGTTCTCTCCTCCATTTGGAGGGATCATAGCAGCTTCCTCATGAAGAACGCGTTTCAGCCGCCCATATGCTTCAAGTGATTGAGATGCTATGAAGGATGCCGTTTGACTGATATTGTGTAGCTCATGGTACCTCTGTAGGCTATCGGAATAGTCATACATGGCGCTCTTCCTTATAGGAGGAAATCCACGCTTGGCCCCCCTCGTCCACCTTTCCAAAACATAGCAGTCTGGAAGCTTGTGTTCTCCTCGACGACCCAATACAAAGAAGATGTGTGAGCATGGGGTTCCAAGGGATTGTAACTTTAGACAAGAACAAGAAATTTCCTTCAGCTTGCGTTCAACAACGCATATCTCACATTTCACATAGTATTGTTTGTCTCCTTTATCAACCTTTCCAACAATATACTCAACAATATCATAGCCATCTACAGTCTCAATCCAATAACACTTGTCGGCTGCTTTTACGCTGTACTGCACATCGGCAAAATAAACACTTGGTGTGAACAAATTCGCAGCCTCTTTCTCAATAGTTGAAGCATCTGGTTGTAAGCATGGCTTAGAACTTGCTTGAAAGTCCAGATACGCTTCATTACTGCGCAACTTTGAAAGACAGTGGTCAACGTGCTGTATCAACTCTAACAGTGTCATTTTCCGATCTAGATTAAACTGAATCCTAGAGTGTAGGCTCTCACTACGCTGGTTGCTCCTCAGTCCTAAGTAGCACTTACCAGCATGATATGCCGCACACCAGATTTCCCTCATCTCATACATCTGGTACAACCACGAGTCCTTATCTGTAACTTTCTCCTTTGCCAAGAATGCTATCCATTTCCTCTCAATCTTTTCTATGGAGCAACGATCATCTGAAAAAACCCTAACCTTATCCTTGAGATCCTGGGTGTGAAGATTACGCGCAATGCACACCTCAATATGCCATACGCATAGCCTATGCGATGAATTCGGCCACACAATACTGATTGCTTTCTGCATAGCACGGTCTCCATCGGTGATCACAGAAACCGGATGCTTCTGAATCATGGCATCACAGAATGACCTAAGCAGCCACACATATGACTCAGTATCCTCGTGAGAAAGAATTCCACAGGCAAAAAGAACCGTGCTTTTATGGTGATTCACCCCAACAAAAGGAACAAGGGTCAGGTTGTATCGATTCGTTTTGTACGTGCCATCAAACACGATGACATCACCAAACGCTCTATAATCCATCTGACATTGAAAGTCACACCAGAGCAGTCCCGTCAGGTGCCCTCTCCCATCAGTCTTGTACTGGAAAAAGAAATCAGGATCTCTACGTTTTGATTCTGTCATGTAACTGATGATTGTTCGAGCATCACCACCAGAAAGTGTCTCCGCCTTGTTGCGATGGCAGAAATTGTAAAGGTCCCTTGATGTAAATCCAACCTTATCATACCCATTGTACCGCCTAACCATAATATCCATTATCTGGTGTTTGCGGATCCCAGAAATTTGCAGCTGCACAATCTCTGCTTTCTGATCATCGCTGATTCTTCTATGTGAACGCAGAAAGCAAGCAAGGTCTGGTTCCGTCATCGGATGGTTGTGCTCGTCGATGAAATCCTTCACACACCACTGCTCTGTGTTCGGATCCTGTGCAATCACAAGTTGAGCACGGCATCCACAACGAGTGATATTCCGCGGCCTCCGCTTCTTGATCTCCCTCCTCACCTCCTTCTCTGCGCGGAAACCTTCACAGCTGCAAACAAACTTCCGAAGGGTCCTCTCATTGTGGCCGTTGTCCCACTCGCAGTATTCCTTTCTCACACTAAATCCTTTCTCATAAGCGTAGTTGTTATAAAACTCAAATCCGTCGTCCTCACTGCCAAACATCTTCATAACAATTTCACTGTACTCCAGCAAAGAATCATCATCCGACATTTCCTCCTGAAAAATGAAGCTTTCATTAGGATGCACAGGTTTTCATTATTGAAATTCACTTTGCACTTGAAGTTTCAAATTCTCATTGTCTCTTGAATATTCAATCCACACGATCTACTGCCACTAGTAATATAATCCTAGATCATTAGGTGCTGCCTGTTTAGAAAATTGACACATTGACCCTAAACCCTAGACTCAATAGCATACCATAGCTATGTAATGAACTTAATTACAATCAAAAGACCTGCATATAGTACCAATTGCAGGGTAAAGATACTATGGAAGGGACCATGTAGCTCTTAAGTATGATATTAATTCATATAATATGCCAACTCGCCAATCAAAACCAGCTAGTGGGAGATGATCAAAGTGTATCCTGATGGCAGCATGTCTGACGGGGCACATGTAGCTGAATCCAATTAGTTGGAAACACCATACAGGTTGTCACGTGGACACGATTTAATTTATGCAGAACACCTTTAGCCCCACGCAAGGTCACACACACATGTTCACTCACTTGCAACCAAGTGAGATCAGTCTTTTGTTTAAGCTTACACTTGATCAAGGGACTGAATCAACAGTACTGCCTATCTACTAAAAAATTAGCCAAGTAGGCCTTGCCTACTACACAGATGGCTGGAATCACATGGATTATCTTAGCATATATCATTACATTAACAAGCTCCCACATGCTTCACTTATTTTTAATCTGTCACCCTGTTTGTGCATAAAGTTTGAAAAGGCTTATGTGAATCATGTGGACCAAGTAATCTGTACAGCAGATCAACCAGGGACAGTGATGACTGATGAGGCCTCATGGTCTGATACTGAAAAGATCCTCAAGAGGATGGTCAAGTTCAGGAATGATTGCGATATGTGGGGTTATAAAAAGTAGCATTTCACACCACAGCACTGACATGATTTGGCCATCACTAGTAAAATCCCTTAACTGACAATCTCTACAGCATGATGAAAGTGTCTTAGAACACTTCTGTAACAAACTTCATAAATATCTCAAATTGGTTTATGCTATCACCACATGTTGTCAGTCGTCACAGCTTGTAAATCACTGAACAGAGTAAAATTTTGATTCCTGAATGAAAGTAGATCATACCTATGACACTTTCAAGGATATACATAGGGCCGAGGACAGAGCTATACTGAGGGACCTTTCAAACAGAGCTTGCAACGAGCCCAAGACAGTAATTGTAGCGTTATTTAGAGGTGTCTGTGCGGATGACTAGTGAAGCTTTACATGAACAAAGAGGCATATGAAAACTATGCAGATTAACACCAAAACAATTTTGGAATCAGAATGAACACAAACCAAATTGATTCGAGGTTTCATCATGTGATCGGATTACAGGGGAGTTGGTACCTCGAGGCTGGCCTCGGACTGGAGGGCGGCGAGGGCGCGCGGGAATCCGGCGGACTCGACGAAGGCGGCGATGGAGGCGACCACCGCGGCCCTCGCGCTGGGGGCGGGGGCAGCGGCGCGGCTGGGCCGCCGTCGCGACGAGTCTCCAGCGGTGGCTAGAGGGAGGGAGAGAGCAGAGGGCGCGCGGGAATCCGGCGGACTCGACGAAGGCGGCGATGGAGGCGACCACCGCGGCCCTCGCGCTGGGGGCGGGGGCAGCGGCGCGGCTGGGCCGCCGTCGCGACGAGTCTCCAGCGGCGGCTAGAGGGAGGGAGAGAGCAGGGCAGCGGTCGCTAGGTAAGAGCAGGTCAGTGAGGGCGATGGCAGGCCGGCGCGGCGCCGTGCGAGGGCGGCGGCGGCGGCGGGGGCGGCTGTGCAGGGTCGGGACTGGGCGATGCAGTCGAAAAGCGAGGGCGAGCTGGCAGACGACGTCGCCGGGCGCGGATCGGGGAGAGGGCGCGGTGAGCAGTGATATGCACGTGAAATGACCAACATACCCTTTATGATGATAATTAATATTTTATAGAGGCAATGGGAGGCAATGCGAGGCAATTTCAAGTACCGTAAAAGGGCTCTTTAAAAAAAAGAGGAAACACGAAGAAGGCTTTGGTGGCGTGAAAAACATTTTCTCAGCAAAAAAAAAAAGAGGGAACACCAAAGCTTGATGGCGCGAAAAGCATTTTCTCAGCACAAAAAAAATTTCGCGTGAACCATTTTATCTGTATTTCTTTTTGGAAAAAAACTGCCAAATAATTTTAGAACTTGTATCCACCTATGTAAATGTTTTCATTTTTTTGGGAATACCTATGTAAATGTTTTCAATTCGTGCATTCCCAATAGCCGTGTAATCTGACATTATCTCAACTACTTAAAATCTCATCTCATCTGAATTATCCGAAAAACCTCTAAGAGCGAGAACAATGTATAATGCCCTACTTGGTAATAAACATGAGTCTGCGTCAGTAGTAAATAGTTGTATCAATTTTCATAGTAGCTAGTAGGGTAAAATCCATGTTTTTTTTAAAAAAATCTCCTTCGTCAGGTCGGCTCCTCTTTCCCATTGTATCCTCTCTCTATCTGTCACCACCACCAGCTGGTCATCTACCCTTGCCATGGCCTCGGCGGGGACGTTTGGATCCCTCGCTGGTCCTTGCTTTGCCTGGCAATGCAAACATAGAGGCGTTTGGATGTGCTAGCCTCGGTTCTTGTGCTGGCAAATCTTTGTTAGCCTGGGCTAGCCAATCTGGCTCGCCCGGCCTGGCAATGCTAACCTTGCCCGGCGAGGTGAGGTGAGGCAAAGACAGCAACGAATCCAAACGTGCCAAGCGCTCTGGCGGACACTTCTCACATCCTAGGGTCCACGGTTTTGGTGGGGATGGTTTGTTCAGAAAAAAATTATGTCACATAGTCACACACCCCTTCCCATGCGACACACCCTGCATGCAGTGCCTCTTGGTGCACAGCACAGGTCCCAGTTTCCTCGTGTGGTGTAAGGTGCTCGCCTTGTTCAGCCGATCCACGTTAAGCGGGCAGTTAGATTTTCATTTTCTGGAGAAACTGATCGAGCAACTGGGACACGTGTCACGCAATCACGCGATGTCGCACGGAAGCGTCGTGCGATGGTGTAGCATAGATTTTTTTTCCCCAACTTGTCCAGCCTCAAAGTTTGCGCAAGGAGCTCTACATCAGCCAGATCCCTTGCCGCTCAGCCCGCATGAGGCCATGCCGGCATGGTTGTGGCCTCTGCCGCTGCTTAGTCCATGTGCGGTTGGGGCAGCTCGGCTAGCTCACACGCAGCCGTGGCTGAGGCCAAAGATGTCGTCGCCGCTTGGTTCGCACGGGGCAGTGGCTGAGGCGGCCACCCCTGCTCGGCCTCTATGCACCATGGCCAAGGCCTCCGCAGCCACCATTCCTACTGCTTGTCAGCTTGTGCATGAGAACACCCACGAAAGAGAAGAGAGGAGACAAAAAAAAGGATTTTTTTTATTGCTCTTACTCCGTAGTAGTGCTACTACCGGCCTAATTACTTAGTCTTACTACTACCTCCACAGTGTATCTTACTAGCTAGAGGTCCTTATTACTACCCCCTCTTATCTTCTCATTGCAGATGCCCTATGTCATGATCCGGTCATGTCAATCCAATTATCTAAGCATAATTTGCGCTAAAAATTTCTATTTTCAAAAAAAATAAAATTTCTTGGATGTCAATTCTGCATTTTCTCGGCTACAGTGCTTGCCCGGATGAACCGACGGACTGTCCGGCAAGACGCGGCAACACTTGTAACATACAAACCGTGATCTGCCACACACCCTGGCACCACACGTCAACCCATCCTCTCTCTCACACACCAGCCCTCTCCACTCTCCCATCTCCTTCACTTTGTAGAACACAAGAACAGAGAGCAAGAAGAGAGGAGAAAGGAGGGGAAGAGAAGAGAAGGTGGAAGAGGAGAAGAAGGATGCCCCCACGCCAGAGTAGCACGCCAGCAACCCCCTCAAACCCCGCCGCAGTTGGAGATGGAGACCCCCCAAGTCTTCTTCTTCCTCAAGCTCTCATGGAGGCCCCAAGCCGATTCCCCACCTCAAGCCTTCCCAAGCCGAGCTGCTGCAGTTGGAGATCCTCAATGTGGTGAGCACTCCTCCGAAGCCCCTCTCCATCTTACCCCTCTCCCATGGGCCATGGCCATCCCCTTGAACTCTTGCTCCATCCATGGCCACCACCAGCATATAGATGGGCTCGAGCTCCACAGACACACCATGCATGATGAATCCTAACACTTAGAATGAATCCCCCCACATCACTAGGAGACTATAGAAACAAACTACACTAAATTCGGAGTCCAGATGCACCCGGAATCATTTCCAACATATTTGCATGTGTGCTGAAGTGTGTTCTCTTGGACAGTTTGGTGCTCACCGAGACAGTCCATCCCCGGACAGTCCGCACGAACCCATGCTCAATCGAACTATCCGTCGCAAACCCTCGCAACAGGCAAAAAGCGCAGCAAGAGTCAAGAGGAGAAACAAGGAAGCGCAGTCAAACACGCACCCATTGCCCCCTTTATATAGGTCTAAGAAGCCAGGAGGCGAGCCAATTGCGAGCACTGAAAAATCAAAGAGCAAGCGCACGGTTCACGGATTTTGAGGAACCACGACACACGCACCCTGATAAACTCGCAACAACCCAAGAGCCACAACTTCGGATCCCAAGATGTACAAAACAACAAACACACAAACACCACACACCTAAGATCCTACGCAACAAAATCCCTAGAAATAAGGCAGCTTTGGTGAGCGAAGGGGGCCGAGCTTCGCCCAGCCACTGCCGGGTGGACTGCAAAGCTAGAGTTGTCGCCAGGCTAGAGGCATATTCCGTAGGAATCAACTAAACCCACCACCAACAACTCCACATATCACATATGCCACTTGGGCGGCACGGGCAGCAAGGGTATGTGGCCAAAATTGCTTATATGGCCAAGTTCTGCACGTGGAACGGGTCTGCATACGCGTAGCACATCTCTTACACTTTCGTCCTCACATAGTGTAAAAGGGTTAACACGGAGGTGCTATGTTTGGAACGACA